ATAACGGTAAAACAGTCGCATTCAAAACAGGCAACACCCTAATGATAATTGTAAACAGATGGTATTGGTAAATGTCTAGATGATGGCCCCTTCGGGGGTGGGGGTGGGTGGGGTCGAAAGACGAGGTCTCCCCCACCACTGTACCATAAAAAGTTCGTGGCGATCTCACCCCCATAAAAAGTTATGGGGGTTGAAATTTGACAATTTTCATCCACTATACCTAATTCAAATAAAATTCAATAAAAAAATGATTCTCAACCGGGTGGAGGTGGGGGATCGCAAGAGGGTGGTCACTTGAACAAAACCCGATAACCTAACCTACCCTATTGATAAAGATATTTAAATAATGTTTTATATAAGTTTCTCAATATTTTTATGTATTTTTCATTAGTTTTACCTTTGAATATTGTTTAAGAATNATTTTACTTACCTAGGAAGTCAGATAAGTCAGGACGGAAGGAGTAGTAGGGATATAAAGCAGAGGATAGCGCAAGGTTGAGTCGGCTTCAATAAAAAGAAGTCACTTCTATGCTCGCAAACGATTAATTCAGAAATTCGAAAAAGATTGTTAAAGATGTATGTTTGGAGTGCGCCATTTCAACTTGGAACGTTATCGAAACAATATTTAGTCCCAAAATGTGAAAGCAGCGTTGCGATACGATACGACAAATGGCGTTTAGTAAATCGTATCGTTATCGGACTGTGTGAAACTGCCCTTAGACTATTACTTAACATTACGCATCCTTTGGATCATTTAGGTAAATTCTGGGGCAGTAATATTCCACAGATAATTTTTCACTCTCTTCCATCTTCATTTCGTCTATCTCGTCTTTCTGACCCCGACTAACACCCACCCATTGTCACAATTCCTGACAAAATGAATTTGAACTTTTCGTTAGATATAAAATTCAGAAATAATACAAATTGGTTATTGCAAATACGTTAACCGATAGCGCGTGAACTTTAGAATTAACATTTTTTACAGACTAGACTCACTGGCTAACATGAATGGAGACACGATTTTCTGAAAATATTGCGACGATTGTTGTTATTGTTTTCACGCGAAAGAAAAATCGAAGTTATCATTGACCCAAATATCTCGATAGCGCGTAGTGGCATTTAAATTTTTTATCTTTTGCCCATTACAGTAAACATTATTCTAATGTCAATATAGTTTACACTTTTATATAAATTTATAATGTCTACTTATTATTATAGTAATTGTAGCGTTGTTCGGAATTTCGTGAAACTTTTTTTAATTAATACCTAATTATAAAATCAAGGAACTACTGAAGATTTGACAACTGAGGCTTTTACAGAAAAAAATAAAATAAAAAAAATACCCTCGGATGAATATTTCTAATAAACTCAACGAGAAAATAAAATTTTACTATTTTTACTTGAGAAATAACGGTAAAACAGTCGCATTCAAAACAGGCAACACCCTAATGATAATTGTAAACAGATGGTATTGGTAAATGTCTAGATGATGGCCCCTTCGGGGGTGGGGGTGGGTGGGGTCGATAGAGGAAGTCTTCCCCACCACT